TTAAACTTGTCGAAAATAATTCTGGTCAAGTGAACTTGGAACAAATACAGAACCTGTTGGTGGTAAGTTCAAGTTCATATATTGCTTGTTGACCTTGACTTTGACCTTGACAGTGTAGTTTGTGCAGAACGTGTTGGTTAGTTTAATGTTTGAAATGGTGTTGCTTGAATTGTGATAAAATGTCAATATAGATTAGGGCGGAAATCAATCGATGCAAACGTTTCTCAAAACCATTATTCTACTAATTCAAGCAGCAGTACTTCTGATAACTTAATTCTACACGAGATAAAGACTTATTTACGATGATCACATCACAACACCCTTTCTACTGAATGCAGGTACATGTATAACAAATGAACTTGTTGGGACAATGCCACGACCTTGAATGTTGTATTTGTCAAAAGAAGGAAAAACAATTAGCTTCTTGTAATAGAACATTTAAAAATTGATTTTGTTGATAAAAAACAAGTATATATTTTTGGTATGTTGTTGAACATGTTTCCCTTTCATTTTGGTTCATTTTTACCTTGCCCGTAACACCAAAGATGGAAGAGAAAGGTATATTAATTAAGGGGAACATTTTGTGGTATTTCCTTTGCTGAAAACGATGTGCTGTCACTTTTGCTATTTATTGTGTAACTCTGCTGTTGCTTACATGAGTTTTAAGTAAAATATTATTATGTTTAATTCAATTTTGAAATCCAGTGTATGTTGGTAAATTTGTGTTACTTTCTGTAAAGATTTTGAGTTTTTCTTGGCAGTTTCTCAGAGTTAAAAAAAATATTAATTAGATAATTTGCATATTATTGAATATGAAAGAAATGTGCATGTTAATTAGATAATTTGCATATTATTGAATATGAAAGAAATGTGCATGTTGATTTGCATATTATTGAAAAAAGTTGTGAGATTTTATTTTATGATAGTTAACAATAGTTGACCATGGTGTTTAAAAGTTCAGGTAAATCTGTACATTTTAATGTGTCACATTACAGTCAGAACATAAAGGAATAACAATGGTAGATGAAAGGATATTTTCTAAATTTGATGTCAACAAAGATGGTTGGATTACAGTTGATGATTTGAAGGTGTTACCTGCAGAAGTCTTTCATGAAGAATTTGAAGATTTTGAACCCGGTGAGTTTTACTGTTTTAGTTATATTGCATTCAGTCAATGTGTCATGTGTGATATATTGAGTAATGAGTCTTCTTGAGGTTACATAAACACATCATGTGGAAATACACTTTCTTGACATTGCATTCCCTGTGGTGATCGGGAACGACTCAAAGTTTGACACTGAGTATCACTCATAAGAGACGAGAGAGCATGAGTTTTAATCAGATTTATATCTTTTATCCCTGTAATCATAATTAAGGGTTAATTTCTGGATTCATATCTCTGACATTTTTATTTTCCAACTATATTACTATTATAGTATATATCTTAAATTTGGTAACTAGCAGGGACTGTGCCATGCATGGGTTGTTTCTTTTGTTTTAAGCCTTATCATCATTGTCTATTTTTAGCTCCGCTGTCGACTTTGTCGAGCGGAGCTTATCATATGAGTGATTGTCCGTCGTCGTCGTCCGTCGTCGTCGTCCGTGTCAATGTTTTACTTTTTCGACTTCTTCTTGAAAACTACAAGCCTGAATGCTTTGATACTTGGTGTATATGTACCTTGGGTAGACCTCTCTCAGATTTGTTCATTTCATGATGATATCTTCAATTCTCTAATTTTGGTGAATATTTTTGTCATTTTTAGTAAAAAGTGATATTTTCGACTTCTTGTTGAAATCAGCAAGTGCAATTGCTTTGATATTACTTATATAGGTACTACATGTGGACCTCTCTCAGATTTGTTCATTTTGTAATGATATCTTTAATTCTCTAATTTTGGTGAATATTTTTGTCATTTTTGGTAAAAAGTGATATTTTCGACTTCTTGTTGAAAACCGCAAGTCCAATTGCTTTGATATTACATATATAGGTACTACATGTGGACCTCTCTCAGATTTGTTCATTTTGTAATGATATCTTTAATTCTCTAATTTCGGTGAATATTTTTGTAATTTTTGGTAAAAAGTGATATTTTTGACTTCTTCTTAAAAACCGCAAGTCCAATTGCTTTGATATTACATATATAGGTACTACATGTGGACCTCTCTTAGATTTGTTCATTTTGTAATGATATCTTTTATTCTCTAATTTTAGTGAATAATTTTTGGTAAAAAGTGATTTTTTTGACTTCTTGTTGAAAACCGCAAGTCCAATTGCTTTTATATTTACATATATAGATACTCCATGTGAACCTCTCTCAGATTTGTTCATTTTGTAATGATATCTTTAATTCTCTAATTTTGGTGAATATTTTTGTCATTTTTGGTAAAAAGTGATATTTTCCGACT